AGGGACCTCGAAACGAAAAATAAATCGGTCCCAGGTCCAGGTCTTTCAATAAGTACTACGGTAATAGCTTATTCTATGTATGGGAAATTCGCTAAAACACAGCAATTTTGAAACAGGATCATATCTTTTAATGATTATTTTTCCTTAAATACATTATGACGTATTAAAACTGTATACCAAGTTTCATAAAGATATCTTAAATAGTTTTCCAGAAATATCTCATTAAAAGCGCGTTCATTCAAATTCAAATAGAATCCCACGGCGCCACTCGAGGAGGAAACGCTTCGCGTCTTCCGCTACAGTGGCGCGGCAATACAGCCGCATCATGAAACAGCGCCTAGCGCAGATGCAGTTGACCGTCTGCATTAGAGTATTATATTGTCTGTGCTTGAGGCTCTTGATAGCCAAACCAAACCTAACCATGCGGTTCCAATGTGTCTGAGCTTTGTAGTGAGAATATTGTCTGGGGAATGTATCTTATAAAACTATAGGTGACGACCACGTGTTTAGTTATCAGATCACAAAAGTAGAATTTTAAAAACAATTTTCTGTCTATTTCTGATTAAACAGATTTCCTTTTTATGCACAGTCAAAATTATTGATAAAAAAAGAATGTCATTAGTTATGTCTGATGGTTTTGTCCATATTAGTACTATTGTGTGAAAGTGGAAGGATATGTTTGATAACACGATTTTTCAATGCAATGAAACTATAACAGGGTGTATACCAACCGGGAAAACCGGGAGAACCGGGAAATAACCTTGAATTTGAAGGGACCTGGAAAAAACCGGGAAAAAGCCGGGATTTTTGGACCGATTCCGGGATTTTTATTTTAGCCCCGGTAGAAGATTGTAGTTGTAAAATGCGTCTTGCCGCGATTGCGGGCGACGACGATGACGTTTTCGTGACCGCGGGAGACGACGATGACGTTTCCGTGACCGCGGGAGACGACGATGACGTTTTCGTGACCGCGGGAGACGACGATGACGTTTCCGTGACCGCGGGAGACGACGATGACGTTTTCGTGACCGCGGGAGACGACGATGACGTTTCCGTGACCGCGGGAGACGACGATGACGTTTCCGTGACCGCGGGAGACGACGATGACGTTTCCGTGACCGCGGGAGACGACGATGACGTTTTCGTGACCGCGGGAGACGACGATGACGTTTCCGTGACCGCGGGAGACGACGATGACGTTTCCGTGACCGCGGGAGACGACGATGACCTTTCCGTGACCGCGGGAGACGACGATGACGTTTCCGTGACCGCGGGAGACGACGATGACCTTTCCGTGACCGCGGGAGACGACGATGACGTTTCTGTGACCGCGGGAGACGACGATAACGTTTCCGTGATCGCGGGAGACGACGATGACGTTTCCGTGACCGCGGGAGACGACGATTACGTTTCCGTGACCGCGGGAGACGACGATGACGTTTACGTGACCGTGGGAGACGACGATGACGTTTCCGTGACCGCGGGATCATCGATGATGTATACACTGCCGCGGGAAATATCCATGATTTTGCCGAAATCGCGGATGACGACGATGACGTTTCCTTGACCGCGGGTGACGACGATGATTATGTCTATACAGCCGCAGATGTTTATGATTTTGCCGAGATCGCGGACGCCGGCGATGACGTTTCTATATCTGCGAGAGGCAATGATGATGTCTACACGGCCGCGGAAGATTTTCGTGATTTGCCGTGACCACGAAAGACGACGATGATGATTTCTACACGGCCGCGTGATATGCTCATGATTTTGCCGTGATTGCGGCCGACGACGATGACGTTTCCGTGACCGCGGGAAACAACGATGACGTTTCCGTGACCGCGGGAGACGACGATGATGTAGACACGGCCGCGGGAAATATTCATGATTTTACCGAGATTGCGGACGATGACGTTTCCGTGACTGCGGGAGGCTATGATGATGTCTACACGGCCGCGGAAAATATTCGTGATTTGCCGTGACCGCGAAAGACGACGATGATTATGTCTACACGGCCGAAGATAGATGTTCATGATTAAGCCGCGATCGCGGACGACGACGATGACGTTTACGTGACCGCGGGATCAACGATGATGTTTACACTGCCGCGGGAAATATTCATGATTTTGCCGAGATCGCGCACGACAACGATGACGTTCCCGTGACCCCGGGAGTCAATGATGGTGTCTACACGGCCTCGGAACATTTTCGTTTTTGCCGTGATCGCGGTCGATGACGATGACGTTTACGTGACCGTGGTAGTCAATGATGATGTCCACACGGCCGCGGTGGATTTTCATGATTTTGCCGCGATTGTGGATGACGATGATTACGTTTCCGTGATCGCGAGTGATAATGTATACATACCGCGGGAGATGTCCAGGATTTTTCTATGATAACGTAAGACTGTGATGAGGTTTTCGTCACCGTGGGAAGCGACCACACAACCGCAGGAAATATTCAGGATTTTGCCGCCGTTGATAATGTGTTCATAAAAAATGAAGATAATATTCGTGATTTTGCTGCTATCGAGAGAGACGATGTTTCGGTGGACTTAAGTAATGATGATATTGAAAATTATTACTATAATAAGGATTATTACTTTTTCAACACTAGCTCACTGGACTTTGAAACAAATTTGATGTAAGTTTATATTGTATACTTAAGCTGCAAGTCTTAAATTGATTATTGTTTAAGTGGAACCAAACAAATACGCGGGAACCTGGAAAAACTTCGAAAAACCATGAAAAAACCTGGAAAAAACCTGGAATTTCACTTTAATAAAATAGTATACACCCTGTATAAACAGGTCGTAGATGCACGATACGCAAATAAATATCTTTGCGAAATTCAGTCAGAGGGACTTCTCAAACCTTTCAATTGTCCGCGTTTCCTTTGATAATCATATCATCACCAGTCGGTAAAATAAACGAATATATCTGCATAATTCAAAATAAAATGATATGTTAATTTAAGTCTCTGATATAAAATAAATCAATTGACTATGGTTTGATCTGATTTGTTATAAAAGACCAAGACTACAAGTTCTAGCTTAATCAGAAAACACTTTACACGATCAATTAATTGGTCGAATAAAACATTTATATAGATAAAATATCTCAACTCATCGATATGGTCTCAAAAATAAATAAATAGATCTACATATAAAAACTACTTTAATAAGAGGTTCGATATACTATACCTATGTTTTAATTTGGAATGGTAAGCAATCATAAGCAATTGTAGTATACATGCATGATTATGTAAATGATATATACTGAACACCACTGTTTATATAGATTGAAACCTAATTTACGCAAGATTATGATTGTTTACATGTTATTTCAGTTGGTAAATGAATATATCACTAATATCAAGGTTGATAAAGATTAAAAGTTACAGTACAGTCCCGGCCACGTAAAGAGAGAAAATGTCCAGGTAGACCCGGTCAGGCCTAATCCGCCGTTGTCAAAACATAGCTATTGTTTTGAAACCGAGGGGGCGCGCTACCCCATCCCAGCGGTCATTGCTACCTCAGCGGTCATTGCCTGCTGCTTCTCAACATCGACTAGCCAATCAACGAAGCGACGTAGAATCGCGATTCAAATTCTGTGATATTCGTCTTCACTTTGTGAATAAAATGACCTGTCACTTAATTATAGGCGATCACCCGTTCGATTTATAGAATTTGTACTGGCCCGAGTTATTTCTAAGAATTAAAGGGAGGCAGTAGCAATGACCGCTGGGATGGGGTAGCGCGCCCCCTCGGTTTCAAAACAATAGCTATGTTTTGACATCAGCGGATTAGGCCTGACCGGGTCTACTTGGACATTTTCTCTCTTTACGTGGCCGGGACTGTACTTACTTATATTACCATGGGACTTAATAATTGTATCAATAATTGTATCAATCACTACTATTCATTGATTTCTAAAGCAAGGACATATTTATTTTTCCAGGGAGCTAGGACTATAACAACTCAAGTCAACTCAATGAACTTCTGTCAAACAGAGTGTTAAAGTCTCTCCTAGTCCAAGGTAAAACACGTTAATATGGAAATCTAATAGCTTTAAAATTTATAACTTTATAAACTTAAAACGTTGTAGATAAAATGCTAAATGAACGTTTGTAGGAATTACTTGGAATTATTTAAGGTTATTTTCATAATCCTAATTTGTAAAACGTAACGGAAATCGATGGGGCTGCAGCAGTCTTGTTTTAGCCGTGAGGTATTGGGTTTTCAAAATGTATTTAAAAATGAATTATACATCTTTGCACTGTTCGTTCTTTTGCCTCTGTTGTTTTAATTTGGAACACAACGAAAGTGGAAATGTATCCAATGGTTACTTTTTACAAAATCAACATGAGAGATTCAGTTACAACTATCATAAATGTTGAAGATTTGTTTGAACGAGACGTTGACCAACATGTAATAAGTGATTCTTTATAATCTTTATACAGAACGTGGAGCTTAAATAGTTACTAAACATAAAGAATAAATCAAGCGCACTCGTTGTTATTTGCACTATGTTTACGGAATTTGAACTATCGTAACTTTGAAAGGAATTGAGATAGAATGGATCAAGTAGTGGTAGCCTTTAATGCGCCTATTGGTGAAGGGCCACCTAATCCCTTAGCGTTCACCGAGCCCCTGCCAGAGTATAATACACGATTACGGGAACTTGAACTTGAATTGAATCTCAACACGATACAGTAGCAAGAAACTTCTTGATAAAAAAGTCAAAAATGGACCGATACCAAATGATATCTTAAAAGCTTCGTTCTACGGAACCCTAAAACCAAAAGGAATCTCTTTTCATAAACCCTCTTCCTCTCTACACACCTAATTAAGTTTCTATTGTAAATGAATAATCTTCAAAGCGTGTGATACATATTTTTTGCTTATTGCATTCAATAGCTATGAAGATATGGAAGCGGAAACACGCAAGTCAAAGAGGAAATCTTTACAACTAACTTGGACAAGTTGCAAGGCGACTGACCTGATAAGAAGCTGGTGGCCAAGGACTCTCCGTCCTGACCTCTGCAAGGTCCGACCCCGGCCAGGACCAACATCACCAACACCCTTGACATCTCCATCGCACTCCGACTAGTCGTCACCACACTCACACTCACACTGACACCTGAAGACTGAGGAGAGGACGACTAGGCCGGCCCCTCACCCCACCTCCGACACACTCAGCACTACCACGGCTCATTTCGACGACCCTAACTTTAGGAAATCTTCTATGATGATGAGAGAGTTTTATTATGAAGTTTTACCATTGTAATGTAAATTTATATACATGTAGATCTTTTGGTAAAATGAAGTATTTTTATCTATAGGATACAAGGTTGCAATGTTTATGTTTTCAATTCATTCCTACAAAGAATTTTGTTTTTAGAATTTTTTGTTTTGTTTTTAGTAGAATTTATGCTTGGCATATTGTGATACAATTTCACATAGATAAGTTCAAAAAGTACGATGTTTGCACGCAAACAACCTATATACAAATCCATCTGTATATTTCTTTAAATTTCTTTTTTTAAACACCGTTTCGTGGGAATAGTTTTTTTCTTATTGCCAGTTATAGCTTTGGGTGAAAACAAGGATGTCAATGTCTTTGCGAGTGTTAATAGGCAGTTCTTGTAATGTACACATTCACAACTGCTTTTAGCCAGTAATAAAAATGCTTGAACTCTTTAGGTAAGAGGATAGAGGTCGATTCACACATAACTGCCCAGTCAAAGTTCCGTTACTGTCCAGTCACAGTTCAGTCTCAGTTGCATCAGTAATTTCTCAGTCAACCTGTCAGTCATTTGGTTACAGTCAGTTTTCCGTCCCTTTATTTACAGTGATGTTACATTCAAATTTGTTTAATTAAAACACTATACATCAAATTTTCATCTTCCATCTTGTTGATTGCTAAAAAAGTACTCAAAATGTAAACACATTCATTTAAATAACAAAAACAATATTTTCTAACCTCCAACACGCCCGTCGTCCGAACAATCCAAAATATCGGTGGAAAGAAATTTGGAAATGACTGACGGACGCGAAGATAAAATACACAATCAGCCTCAAGAATTTAGAATATGGACTATGGATTGTTAAAATACTATAGGTGACTTTAAGAATTTGCTATTCTTGGACTTCATTATTCTAATTTACCTCATTATAGGACCATTCATTGGCTAACATCCTCATCAAACATTCAGATATTCCGATGGACACTGATTCTGGTATATTAATGTCGAAGAAACAACGGAATGGAAACAATACGGAGCCCAGGTTCAAATTTTACGACTGACCTATGGCAGAAGACGAAGATGTAGACGAATGATAGTGCCGAGACAATGGCATCCCGGTAACACTCACAACTTGATTGCTATCTTCGAGGTTTAAGGTAAGTGGCCATCCAACTCCGACGATTTTCAGTAATACCCTAGAAACTAACCTTTCAAGTAATTTTGAGATAGCAAGTCGAAAACACTAGTTTTATCAAAGAATATGTTCAACTGCTTACTCATCTTATCGAGAGTGTCGTTTAAGTCCACTGGCAGATAAAAAAAATGATGCGTATATCATTTTGTTTGAGAACCATACTCATTCTGTTCGTTATTCAGCAGACCCCCCCCCCCCCAAATTCAGATAAGGAATACTTTTATATCCAATTAAGGGTATAATAATAAAATCATTAGAGAACACACTCGGGCTCAGTGCTTCGCAAGCCCCTCTCACTGAAAAAGGTTTAAAATAAAAAAAAAGCATCTAAGACGGGGTTTTTCGTTATTTTGAGGTTAAAATACTGATTAAAACTCGTATGTTTATATGTTTAGCAAACTAATAAAACAAATTGTAAAAACTTGGGAATTTGGCACCCCTAAAAAGTTGACGTTCTAGGGTTGAGCCCAATCAGCCCATATAGAAAGTTGTACTGTACCTCGATTCACTTGGAACTGCAGGTGGCCTGTAGATTTTCACCATAACTTTTTCCTCTTTTGTCTGTATATGAACTACTTTGGTTGTATCTCGAGATTGATTTAAACATATTTTCATTCAGTTTCTCTAACATTTTAAAGAACACTTAAAGTCTTTAAAGATTATAATGAGGGAAGAGGTGTGTAGGGCGGATCGTCATAGGAGCAATCCATCGACGTCGTTTCTTCGACCCACATCCACAAGCCAGGATAATTTGTTGAAAAGCGAAAGAAAAGTATCAAGTAGGACTATATGTATTCCGATGCAATTCACATGCAAGTAAGGTATGTAATAAATGTATATCTGAGGAAGATCTACCCGTCAATACCTTTATCATCAATCAATGGCGACTTATCAATGGCCTAGTATAGTCACTAATAGTCACTAGTCAGGTGACAGTAGAGCCGTTGACATTCAGAGTTGGATACACAGAGTTAGGTGGGTTCTGTTCTGGTCTATGGCAACATCATTGTGTCCAAGAAAGTGAAATCATTGTCATCTTCATTATGTAAGTACTTCCGACAGTCATAATTGTGCAAAGAACAAACAATGCAATGCCAGGAACAGCGAGTACGGATTGCCACACGAGATTCGAAAACATTTTAGTTGAGCACTACGAAAACTATTTATCTATATTTATTGTTTTATATTGAACCATCAAGTTCATGTTGAGTCAAGAATTTATGTTAAACTTGTCACCATTGACAAATAATCTACAACCATAGCTGTCATAGGCTGGGGCTAGTTTTCAACCTTAGAAATAATTTGTAATCCTGATTTATTGATAGGGTATCTGTAATTAGAAAAACATATATAGCCACTAAAAATGCAAAGTAAACTGTATGACTCATCCACACACACTGGCGGTAGAACCACAGAGTAGAACTATTTAGCCATGCAACGCATGTAACGAAAACAGCCGTTTTGACTGCAGTTTGCCGAAAAATGGGTTTCGATTCTTTCGCCTTCAATATGAACCTAAAGGTTGAAATCAAGTGTTCAAACTATATAGTAGGGAAACGCCCCTTCAAGAATACTAATGAATTAGAGAACAAACTGGATATCGCAGATATAATAAATATACTACAGCGAAAAAATTATGGAGTTAATAGTTGTAGTGCCAACTCCTTTAGTGATTTCCAAATTTCTCAAAGGATCCATGTATTGCGATTCATTCGTCGAATTCAAAGCATATTGAGGCCATATTGAAGTTTATGCTAGTTTATACAGGGTTTACAAAAAGAGAATTCCACCACTCCCACAACCTTCGGAACTGGAACCAGCTCCGCACACCCTACTGCAGGCTGTCCAAAACACAAAGTTGTTTCCGGATTAGGGCTTTGTAGAAATTGTAGATGTATAAAGATCTCCCCCGAAGATTTGTGAACCATCCGCTTTCCAAACCACTGTATTCAGTCGATGAATACTTTGATGCGTTGCACTGGGTATAGGCTCAATACAATCACTTTCTAAAACATTGTATTAATAGTGCGCATACTATTTTTAGTTTTCCCTTATTCTACCCACAAATTTTGGTCAACGACGTCGCAGGAGGTAGTAAAATTGTTCTCAGCTGTTTTGTGATTAAGTGAAATTCGTTCATGGTAGAAAGGTTGTACAGGTCTTGGTTCATCTGTATCTTTCCATCGATACCGAGAAATCACAAAGGTGACCATGTACCTGCATTCACCCTTCAAGATTAGCCAAACATAGAAACATGTGACATTTCAGAGAGTGGAGGGCCCATCTGGGCTGTTCTGGGGGTAGACTTTATACAGTCTTAGAGGATGACAATTATAGCAATCCTAATTGGGTATCTGAGATAAGGCCTCTGAGAAATTATATTTCGTTTTCAAAAGCATTTCAAAGTAATTCTGAACTCTAGGAAAACCTACTCAAATAGCTGTAACTAGAAACACTACTAGCAGTGTTCATTTGCATATGAAAAAGATCTGGTTTGGAAACTGACATTTCGGTAGTTTTGGTATATAACCAAAATTATCCCTGATTTAGGTTTTCGTAGATTTTTAAGAACACTTGATAAGGTCCAATTTCGTAGCTTTATATGACCGGATCCCCAGGTTCTTGTGATCAGACCATCCAATTGCGTAGATGTATATGGCAGGATCCCCAGGACCTTGTGATCAGATCATCCAATTTCGTAGATGTATATGGCAGGATCTCCAGGACTTTGTGATCAGATCAACCAATTTCGTAGATTTATATGGCAGGATCCCCAGGACCTTGTGATCAGATCATCCAATTTCGTAGATGTATATGACCGGATCCCCAGGTTCTTGTGATCAGACCATCCAATTGCGTAGATGTATATGGCAGGATCCCCAGGACCTTGTGATCAGATCATCCAATTTCGTAGATGTATATGGCAGGATCCCCAGGACCTTGTGATCAGATCAACCAATTTCGTAGATTTATATCGCAGGATCCCCAGGACCTCGTGATCAGATCATCCAATTGCGTCGGTTTTTATATGGCAGGACCTCCAAGTCCTTGTGATTAGATAATCTAATTGAGTAGATTTATTGATTTATTTATAGGGCAAGACCTTCAGGTCCTTGTGATCAGATCATAAAATTGCGTAGATTAATATGGCAGGACCTCCAGGTCCTTGTGAACAGATCGTCCAATTGCTAGATTTATATTGCAGGATCCCCAGGCCATTTTGATCAGATCATCAAATTGCGTAGATTAATATGGCAGGACCTATAGGTCTTTGTGAACAGATCGTCCAATTGCTAGATTTATATTGCAGGATCCCCAGGCCATTTTGATCAGATCATCAAATTGCGTAGATTAATATGGCAGGACCTATAGGTCCTTGTGAACAGATCGTCCAATTGCTAGATTTATATTGCAGGATCCCCAGGCCATTTTGATCAGATCACCAAATTGCGTAGATTAATATAGCAGGACCTCCAGGTCCAGTGAACAGATCGTTCAATTGCTAGATTTATATGACAGGATCCCCAGGTCCTTGTGATCAGATCATCAAATTGCGTAGATTTATATGGCAGGACCTCCAGGTCCTTGTGACCGTGTCTAGGACGTCTTGTCAGGTCATTAACCCTTCATCTTCCGGTTTCCCTTTCAGCGCCTCTCCCGGGTCCCGTTAC